ATATTTATATATAATTATACATATATGGATAATTTTTTCCCGGGCGACTATTATTTTTTAAATGCATGAAGATATACCAAAGTGTATTGAATTTAAAGGACGTTATATTAAAAAACAATAATTGCCTTTTCTTCTTTTAACATTTCTTCTATTTTGAACATTTAAATTTTAACTATTTATTTCATTCTTTCTTTGCAATCTTTTTATAAAAAACATATGCGTAGATTTTATTTTTACATATCGTATAATTACAGAAAAAATATGAAATATGAAATAAATGTTAAAAAATTAAATTTAAATATATGTATGTATGTGATATAATTAAAAGGGAGCATTTAAACTAATAACACAAATAAAAATAATAAAGTCTTTGTTATATTACGTTAAAATATGCTACATTATATACTTTACTTTTTATGTAATTTATTTACTTGAGTACTTTTCATGTATTCTTGCAATTGTTTCTGATAAAAATTTTTTTTATATCTTTTATATCTTTAATTTTTCAGAATTTCTGTATAAACAAACAACGAGCGCCAACTGAAATCTGTTGGAGATTATGACCTTATCAAAATATGTTATAGAGATCAATATGATCGGTTCCTCTACAGCGTATAAATCATGCCGATTTTTTTATCAAGAATATAATACTTACTTTTGACTTCTATTCGACCTTCATAACTATTATTTGCACCAGCTAAGCGAATACTATAATCAAAATTTTCAGCTGTGCAGATATTCTCATCGCTGCGATCATTGCAATCATTTTTGCCGTCGCAAACTTTTGTTTGATTTATACACTTGCGATTATTGCAAATATACATGCCATCACAGTTCACGCTTCTCTCTTTCATTTCATAATAATCGAACTCTTTGTCAGCTTTGAGTGCACCAGTCAAGCCGATGTTACTATTACTCAATAAACACACATTACCATCCAATCTAAAACAAAATATAATATTTTTATAAATAACATCACAAAAAGAAAATAATTAATCTCAATGATAACAATGTAGTTGTTACGAAAAAGTTATTTTTTCGTAACGCGATATAGAGTACAACTGAAATAAGAGGACTTTGAGGGGGAAAACGTTCATATATCCGCAAACCTGTTATTACTGAGATATAGCTCAAATGTTTATTAATTCATGACCCAACATGTTCGCGTGTATTAAATAAAATTGAAGATAAAATTGAAGATTTGAACATTCGTTGTAATTAAAAGTTGAAAATAAATAATATTAAATATGTATAATAATAAATATTTATTTTTTCATTTTCCGTTAATAAACTTTTGTTTAAGTTGTATCTTAGTAACAGTGGGGGTTTGCAGATATACATTTATATAAATTTTATATAAATTTATATATATAAACATTTTACATGTTTGGTGTAGGGATTTCATCCCAAATGTTTATCCTCCTTTAGTCGCACTTTATATAAATTACACTTTATATAAATTACATATCTTTTATAAATAACTTTTATAAAATATGCTAACTATACTACTAATATTTTTTATTATTATTTATCACTAGATAAATGTTAATTAAATAAATATTTGCTAATTTAATATTTAAGTAATAAATTGTTCTTTTTCTTAATATCTCATTAATTAAATAACTTAATAAATAAAAATAACTTTCAAACAAACTTATGGTTAAATGAGCGACAAGTAAAATCAGCTTCTTTGCATCTTAATGCGCAGGTTTTTAAAGGTGTATTCAACCATTTCTCGACATCGTAGCCCTCAAGTTTATATTTTGTAGATTTTTCAAAGAGATTCAGATCCAATATACATTTTCTTTCGTCAGCTCCATTTGTACAATCCTAAATAACATTACACTAAATGTTATAATAATTATATCAATCTTTATTTAAATAAAATAAACACAATGATAAATAAACACAATGAGTTTAGTTTAGTTTAGTAAGTTTATTAAAAAAATTAAGATTCTTTTTTTTTAATTTAGAAGTTTTATAAACATAGTTTAATAATTGGCAACGTGTCAGCAAACTCACATTTGATTAGTTGGATAGACAAGTTAGGGGAGAGAAAAACTATGTAGAGCGAATTTAGAGATCAGATAATTTTAATTTAGATAGGTAAATAAAGTGTGTATAGAAGATATAAAAGGATGAGCAAGATTAAATAAAAATTAAAGAATAAATAAAAAATAACTAAGTCTCTTTCTTGACTATATATGCTGAAGTGAATAAATATATTCTATATCTCACCTCCTCTCCATCACAAACCCATGGAGATGGAATGCACTCTCCTGGCGTACATTCAAAATGTTTAGGTTTGCATTGACCAGTCAACATAGATCGTTTTGAATCTAAAAAAAAAAAAATAATAATTAATTTTATGTAGTATTACAATCCTTATTTTTATCCCTTTTTTCACAACTTTATTGAAAATATTCGGTATCTACTGATATATTTTAGTCAAATAGATACCAATATTTCCACAGGCAGGAATGTCGCAATATTCACGCTTTCCGGTTTCTATAAAGCACCATGGTCTCGATTCTTTTATTGGATTAGGATTTCTGCAATAGTTATGCATTTCCAGTTTGTCTCGAATTTCTTTATTAACAACCTAATGATAAAAATTAAGTTATTCTTTGATTTAATAGCATATTTTTAATGTGTATACATATAAAGACATATCTACATTTATACGTAATTGATGTACTATTCTTTTATCGGCCCACGAAAGACATTCATTTCCTGATATTGTTACATTAGCTTTGCCAGTGTATTGATTTCCTTTCCCATAAACACAACCTAAACAAATAAGTAAATTTGCAAATTGCCTTTTTGTATTTAAGATATTTGTTATAGTAGATATATATTACAAAGTCATGCATACTTTATGTCACATTTGTATATTTCAAATCAAATTAAGTAAAATTCGATAAAGCATAGCAACATTATTTTTATAGTATAAGAGAGTATAAGAGACAAAAGATATTATTAAAAATAATTTCTCGCAGCTTATTTGAAGTCTAATTTCACATATACATCTATATATTTTATTAATATATATTATTAATATATATATTGTTTATATATTCAAGAATTCTTTAATAATACCAATATCATCATAAGGCCTTTTGCAAATAAAAGAATGCCCTTTCGAAGTAGTTGCACAGTCTTCAGTGTCCCAGAAGAAGTAATCTGTATCACAAATCGATTCAGATCGTTCATGACACGAAAATTTCCGTTTCATCACAATACAAAGAGGACGAGATCCTACCCATGGTGGTTGTTTCGTATCGTTCATCCACCCAGGCCACCATTTTGTAAATCTAACAAAATATTTAACAAAAAATTCAAATATATAATAAAATCTTATAATCTTTTTAAGTTTATTTATTTTTAATAGGATGCAAATAAATTTTTCATTCATTCAAAGAAATTATTATTAGCTTGATAGAAAGACAAAAGAATATTAGTAATATGTTTTATTATAAATATACAAAGATATAAATATTAATAATAAAAAAATAAATTTAACATTTTGTAACAATTTAAATAGAAGCTATAAGTATTCTAAGAATCATACTTAAATTTGGCATGAGCAGAATCCGCCCAGATCCATAAGGTGCGACCCATGCTAGTAAAACCGAAGCCAGAAGTCATAATTGAGCTAACTTTCGGATACGATTGCAATAGCCATTCCGAAACAAAGTTATTTTCCGCCTGATTAATAATGTCAATGAGTCGTGCATTCCTTCGTTTGCAGTATTCCAATGCTTCAGCATGATTAAATCCATTATCAGGATCAGCTAAGTGATAGCATTGACCATCATGAGGTATTTCATCCTTGTAACAATGTGCGATACGATTGGGAGTACATCGCACACCAATTGCATCTCTATCTATACGGCACTCTTGATTATATGTGAATCTAAATTATTATGATTACCATGATAAATTTTAGAGTAATAATTTTTATTACAATTTGCGTCAACAAAAAACATTGCAAATGAAAGATAATCATAAACAATAAACATAATCATAAACATTTAACAAAAACAAAAAGTATTAATTACAAATATTTTGCTATTGTTATGTGCAGTAAAAAATCTAGATTTTGTATAAAGATTATGTGTTTTCTTCGTGTCCAGATCTATTCTTGGAATGCCAATGTTTCGTGAATCTTGCAGTCCACTTCATCGACGAAGAGCAGCCTGATATATGATTTATCATGGTAATCATAATAATAATAATTTTGGAGAGATACAAGATTCACAAAACGTTCGGAAAATTCATGAAACACATAATTTTTATATAGAAAAGCACCTGTGAAAGCTTAAAAAATATTATCAAATCTAGATTTTAATGCCTGACCATCTTTATTCTAATATCTTTCTAATATCTTTATTCTATCTAATAATCTTTATTATCATAAATGGAATTATTATTATTATTATCATAAATTTCTGAAGCTTATATCTTACTTGCATGATTGAAATCTGGTTTCATTGCCGAGACATGTTACAGTATTTGCAGCGATCCAAGTTGGCATATTATTACGATTATTTCTGCCTTGCCAAGCCATTTCTGCGCCTCTATAATAAATAAGATACAATAGTTTGTAGAATATTACGTTTCCTATTGTTAATCATTTTATATCATCATCCCAAATGATATAAAAGTTTATAATAGATAAAAATGTCGAAATACAAAATATACAGGATAAGTTTTGTGGATAGAGCGGAAAAAGAAATCTTAAAGTTGTCTTATGCGTTGATTTTATTCGCTTATTCAACAAATTTCTTTGGAAATTAACATCTCGTTGACTATTGCGAAAATTATAAAATGATAGAAGACTTTTCCATTCAGTTTTTTCGCTCTATCCACACATGAGCGCTTCTTTCAGAGTTCTTTATGAAATAATTAAAGAATTGATGTTTTTTAAAGAATTCTTAAAGGTAGAGATATCTTAAATATCTTAAAGTTGTTTTATGTATGAATTTTTGGACATTCTGCTCATTGGGTAAAAAAAAATTGTGAAAATTGGTAGAGGACTTTTCAACCTAGTTTAGTCCGCTTTATCTTCGCACATGCGCTTTGTCAAAACTTACTGGACACCTTGTATATACACACACACACACACACACACACACACACACACA